TACTCTAGTATAGGTTAGCAAAATTCAGCTGAACTAGCTCTGGTATAGGCTAAGGGTTCCAGGGTCACAGTGGCACATCCCCACCCAGAAATTCCCAAAGTACCACCTCCCCTCCCCAGCCCAGGAAAACAACTTGTTAACTTTGATTATCAAAAATATGTAAATTCTCTTTGCTTGCGCCATCATTACGTCAACAGCTCGTGCTAGTTCTGTGTTTCTATCGAGTTACAGAAATACAGCGCGCGTATTTTCTTAGGACTGTTTTCTAAATTGTATTACAAAGCTGGCACAGCCCTCTAACCGACTAACGTAAGAAATTAAAGTTTGCTTATTGAGTGATACATCAAAAGATTCAAAGTTTTCGATTAGGGTAATTATTCACTTATATACAAGCTAATGAAAGATGTATTTCGAACCTCTAAGGGCGCTCTGAAGTTCAATTCTTCCGCATAAAACAAAAGGACTTCCCAGGGAGCATGGCACTTGATGAAATGCAATTTGACTTTCTTGTCTTGAGTCACCTCCTGCCGATTTAAAATGGAGTAGTTAGCAAAACGATATAGAGTTTATTCTCTAAGAGCTAAATGTGCTTGGCATGAGATCGTACTTTTGATAAAAATCAAAAATTTTTCTCCGTCGCCCGCTTACTACTCAGTACTCACCAGGCGTCGTTTTCCTAATGAGAAGAGCGGATAAGAAGCCTGGTAACTAATCTACACTGGCGGCCATCTTGGTTTGACTTGGCCTTGCAGAGGTTGACTTCATGAAAATTTCAACGCTAAAATGAATTTCTGCTTCCGACAAGCTGAAGCAGGTAAGGCCTGCAGCTAAACCTTGAGTCGGAATTTTGCATTTATGTCTTCTATCATGCATTGTTAAAGTTATGGGATGTTATGAATGTTGCTCTTTACCTCTTCAAATTCCAGCTGAGATTTGGCTAAGTTTTCCAGGAACTTCTGTCTTTGCTCAAGATGTTTGGGAGGAGGTGCTTTTTCTCCTTCTTCGTAGACAAGAACAAAGTCTGCAAAGTTGATGGTAAATGATTAAAAACGATTTTACGAAATGTTTTTGCTAACAGGGTGTAGTTTGCATTAAGCTTAAAATCAAAGAAACAATATAGCACCATGTTACACCATGGTCTTGAACCAGATAATACCCACATACCCATATACTTCCCCTGCATAGGACTGTTTTGGTTTAACCTTCTCCCCACCCCTCTAAATTCTGATGTTTTGGGCTTTGAGAACCCCTCCCACTCAGAATTTTCCATGTTGGTTCTCACTAGGGTGGGTATGATTATTATCTGGAAACACAAAGTTTCCGTCTGTCCTAACATGTGCTACAAAACCCTTTGTAGCTTTCTCTCCCAATTGATTTTATTCTATTGGCTTTCATGCTTTCCCATTATCATACTATCATTTAAAAAAATATAAATGCTAAAATTTAATGCATCCTGTTTGTTAGAAAGACAATTTGCTTTTCTCTGTAAGGCCCAATTCAGATGCCGAACATTTCATGAGCTGAACTTAATTCGAATTTGGACCTGTTGATTCCGATTCACCAAACTTAATTTAGTGTGAACCAAAACACATCAGAATGAAGAAATGGCTTGTAAAATATGTTATAATGATTTATACATTGGGTTCGGCACATGAAAAGTTTGATTTCTGAATCAAAGCCGTTCCAAAGTTGACATTCCCAGCTGAGCTATGCAGGAAGAATGGCTGAGCCATTCCAAATTCAAATACACTGTAGCCGTTCTTAACTGATTCAGATGCTAAACTTTTTACATAATTAATTCAGTGTATTTCGTTCGGCTTGTGAAAAGTGTGGTGTCTGAACTGGGCCTAAGTAACATACCAATCCTCCTTTTGCCATCTTTGAAATAGCAACCTCTCTCCCCAGTCATGTCCTCATCATTGTCAAAATTCTGATTTGAAAAGAATTCAGTTTTAACAAGTCTGCATACATGTACATCCTTCAAACAATAACAGGAATCTTTGATAAACTAATGAAAAGTGGGGTATACTGGATGCTAAAAGCCTGCTTGATTCCTGCAGTAACAAAGGTGTTTATAAGATGTGCAAAGAATCAGTTAGAGTGGGAAATGTTAGATGAAAGTTAAAATTAGAGCAAAGAAGTTAATATTATGCTTAACAATAATGTCAATGGTGGAATATGTTTAACTTTTAAGAAAGAAAACCTCTGGAACCAGTGTTACTTGTATGCAATAATGACACCTTCAAAATGAAGTTCATTAAATTAAAATAATTGATTAAAATTGAGGACTGATTAAATGATTAACAGTAGGAAATTTAACTGCATGCATGTCAAATGCGCAGCCTTGAATTAATTAAATTTTGTTTTAAGAAATTTATGGTAATCTGCTCATTAAAATATAATTTCTCTTTCTAGTATTATATTTTTTGTTTGTACAAAGCATTGTATTTAATTTAGTATATATATATTTTTTACTTTTTTTACTGATAATCTTGTTACATAATATTAAAACACAGTGTTATGTAGTGTTTAGACAAATTAGATGTTAGGAATAAGTTGCTACTGTACAAAATAGTTTTAGTTATTTAGTAAATAATAAATTTGTTTGACTTTGATTATGTTGTTTCTTAAACAAATGCTTGCACACAGAATCATCATTATTAGATTTAAACACTGAATGAAATAAATTCAAGGAAGAGAAAGGCAAAAGGAATCTTACTTTTTACAAAAGTGCAAATTAAACTGAATAGATAACAAAATTTTTGATGATGGCTATGCAGCTCCAAGTCTGAAAATTAATCGTAGAGAATTTAACGAGAGAGAATATTAGTTGTTTCTTCGTATCGAGAGAGGGTTTGTCATAATAATTAGGGCTCCATGTGAGAAAGGTTGAGTCCAAAGAAGTACTGAAACATGTTATTTGAATAATAGTTAAATAACAGTCTATGCGTTATAAAGCTGTTAACTTTGGAATTTTGGAAAGGTTGATATGTTATATCTATTAGAAGTGCAAAATGAACATGATTTAGGCGAAAACCTTTGGCAATTATAATTATGAAATTATTTTTAGTTATACTTATGGTTACATTACTAGATATTTGGTCGCAAAATGTTGGTTAATTATTGTTGTTGTAGATCAGAAACCTGTTCTGTGTGAGCTTAGTGTATTGCAAAGTTCATTGAAAAACGTTAGCTCATCAAAAAATTTATGTGCTTGGAGATGTAAGGCTAGTTTTCTCTAGTGCATAAGAATAAGCATTATAAGCAACTTATACCAACATAGTGAGGTGCTGTTTGGTTGGAAATTTTCCTAAAAAAATGTGCTAATTATGAATGTCTTGCTGAATTTGCATAAGATGTTGCATAAGCTTATGCTTATGCACTAGAAAACCAGCCTTAATTGGACATAAATTTCAATGAAAAAGATTTAGTAAATCAGTTGTTAGCTCTAACTGGTCGTGTCTATTTGATAGTAGGTCACAGGAGTCTTTGATTTGTTCATTAGGTCTTTCACGTATTGTAAGTGATTTTAGTTGGTTTTTAAGCTTCATCGCACTATTCAAATTTAATTTGTAGCAAAAAGTTAAGATGGTTATAAAAGAACAGAACCTTGTAAATTCCATTGTACGCTGGATCAAAAGTATTATAAGAAGCCATTTCCTAGAGAGAGATCAGAAGAAAAAGAAGAGAGTTAAAACGATTGCAGCTTTATACAAGAATTTTTTTAGTGCTAAACAAGGATGAGAAGAATTTCTGGCATGGAACAAATTGTAGTAAGATTTAGGAAGGATCAGGCTTAGTAAATAGGCAGTCAAAGATAAATGCAAAGTCACATTCAGAATGAACATTTGTCACACAGGACAAATTAATCACAGCACAAATTTGTTTCACTTTCTACCGGGACCACTGTTAGAACCCAGCAATCTTCTCCTGGAAGCAAACAACTGTTACTGTTTGGAAAATTGTTTTACAAAAGAATTGTTAACCTTCCATTCAGAGATAGTGATGTTTTGACCTCTCTTCATTTTCCTTTGCTTGAGTGTTAAAAAAGGATTTTTTTTAAATTAACTCAATAGGTAGCAGTACTTTTTATCACTTGTGATCATCTACAGCTGTACTTTGCAAACTATCCCTGATTTATTTGGAATTCAATTTTATTTCTGAGCCAGTTTTCTATTTCTCCACTGACGCCAGCTTTGTTTAAAGAGGAAAACTGTGATAGTCAGAGGCAAAAGGATACTGTGAGAGCTGAACATGCGGTAATATCAGTTTATTATATGTGAACCGGTTCAAAGACTTTGATAAATGCAAGTTGTTTAAAATGGATGTATTTGGCATTTTTTGAACTGATGCTTAGTGTGTCAAGTACTGCATACACCTGTATCTACTGTACAATGCACATTGCCAGGGGTTAGTTATAAAGCAGAGTAGAACTTCTCAGGGATGCTCCCATGAAGAAATGTAGTTAAAATTTGTCAATAAATTTATCTGATGTGTGTAGAACTCTCTGTGAGATATCCGGGAATGCTCTATAATTTATATTCAATTGACACAAAAACTCACTCGGGAGATTGTGACCGTTTGGAACACTGCTCGTACCTGGGCTTTGTAAGTACATGTAGCTTCCTTACAAATCATGAAACATACCTAACAGTACATGTTAATATGGTGTTTGGTAGAAGGAAAATGTACATTATGGATGCTATTAACTTCGCAAAGTTGTTGTTATGAAAAATAAGTTGCTGAAACTTATTTGTGAGCAGTCCATTTTAAGGAACCATTGAGAAGTCTCCTTTTCATCTTGGACCAGTTTGCTGTATATAATAATTAAAAATAGTTTAAGTACCACCACTTATAGTGGTTTCTGTCTTTTTTGCAAGTTTATGGATCTCTCCTAGGTGGCTAGATCTGTAAACTTGCAAAAAAGAACTGGGACAATCAATATTCCCCCACTATGGACCTTGTGCTACAGTACTTCAGTGACATATCTTACTAGTAATATCATTCTATGTACCATGTGTTGGTAAACTTGTTGTGAAGTGGGTAAAAATGCAGACACTCTGTATCTATAACAGATTTACTGTAGATTTTAGTTTTTAAGAAGAGCTTCAGACAACAATAAGTAGTTTTAACATGTACTGATTTTTTCATATGCATAATGGTTCTTAATATCAGTTGTGATGATTTTTTGGTCTGACCTTCCATCTCTTAAAAATTGTGGTTTTTGAGACCCCTTCAACCTTGGGATATCCAATAACCCTCTTGGGGGTGGGTATGAATAATTATTTTGTGGAATCACATTAAAGAAAGATTTGGCTGTTTGGTTATCTCCTCAAATAATATTTTACTGCTAATCTTGGTGTTGTAGAACTGCTAGTTTCTATCAGTTTTGATCATTAACTTATGTCGGTGCTCCTTCAGAAACATTTAAACTATCAAACTGTTAGAATGAGCTTTATGACTGTACATTGCATATTACACTGGAGTATACATGTACTAGGTAAATTATGAACTTCAAAATGGGTCTTTAGTAATTTGATTGACAGTACAATAAATGTAGTTTGATTACTGAACTATGTGTAGTAAACAAAAAGCCCTTAACAGATCAAGTAATGCCTTTTCTGCCTGTGATTGCCATTTGTGTATTTTACAATTGTCAACTTAAGGCTATTGAATTGGTGTGAGCAATATTTTCTCTGTTTATCCTTGTTAGGTATCCTTGCATGACTGACAAAGTGAAGTTATAATTTATACTACATGTACTATTTTAATAAGTCTTGAATTAGATTTTGAACTGTCAGAATCACTCTGCAGGACTTGGCATGTCTCCATTCTGTCAATAACATAATTTAAGAATACCTGTTGATCCGCCTTATTTTCTTTTTCCTTTTGTTCACTCTGATCTTCAGTTGCCATTCTTCATTCAGAAGTGTCAATACCCTAGTTTTGCTGTTTGCTTTTTAACACAAAATTCTTAGAAACTCTGTTCAAGGGCACCCCTACAAGGTGTTTCTCTCAGCAGGAGAGATTGTTCACAACCTTATTGACAATTCAGTCTTAGTTTGTTTGACATTCGAACACCAAATATATGAACCCCTTTTACATGACTGTGTAATTTTATTTTATCCAGTTAACTATTAATGAAAATATCAGCTTATTTTATTTGTTGGTAGAAAAATAACTTTCAAAAGAATAATTGTATAAGGGATAAAGATGCTGTTAGAGACATGTCTTGATAGCCTTCAAAATGTCAAGCAAAAATGCCAGATCTCAGAACACCTTGTCAAAGTTGTAACAGGTGATACCTGTTGATCAAGGTAGATGACAAAAGTCATCTGCAAGCTGGGTTTATTTAAACACAGACATGTCCTTTTACTTGACACCTTATTACGTTATATGGCATTTTGTGTGGTTTAAATCTAACCCATCATTTGTAACTAGGTAAGTTTGACAACTTATATTTTGTCTTCATCTTGAATTTATGTCAAGGACCGGTTATAACTATGTTTACTTTTGTTTTAATAATATACATTATTGTGGCATATTGTAAACAAAACAGTTCTGAAAAACCTTGACATTTTGGTCAACTGGATAACTACATGCGCTTTTTTTGATGGATTTTTTGGATTTTGGATAGATTAATGAAAAGTGAGTGAGCTATTTTTTCTTTTAAAATACAATAACTAAAAAAAATAGCCTGAGATGGGTCATGTTAAAAATTCCATAGATATAATATATCTGGCATTCTGAATTTAACTTTCCATTAGTCAGAACATAACAATAAATAAAACCAATAGATGAATATTTGCTTTTACTAACGATTGATTTCACCTATTCCTTGAGACATTTACATTGCAAAGGCTTGCTCTATTTTGTATGAAGTAATGTATTACACTTGGGAAAAGGTTGAATGTTGAATTATTGAAAAGTCCGTACCAAGGGAGTTGGCTGCATGTGGTAATTGTGAAAATACTTGTTTTGTGTGGTGAACACAATGATCTTTTATACCAAAAACCACCAGTATTTAAACTACACCTGAATAAGCGAAGTGCACTCTTAACTTTTGACCTTAACATTAAATCGCTTAAGCATTTAAAATGTACTTCTAGTAATGTGGCCACAATTGAATTGCTCTATGATTGCTTAATAACTGAGTGTTGACACTGGCAGACACATAAATTGTGGAATTATTGACCCTTGTTTGGTTTTGTGAAAAGAATTTAGAGAAAAACAACTTGAACTTTCTACTGCTTTTGTTGCTACTGTCTGTTTAATGCCACTTTTAATCATGCTACCACAAGCCATGTAATCAACCCTGAGCCAAGGCAATATCGAATATCAATTTTTCTGAACAGGCTTAGTAATGTTTCCAGAAAAAGCCAACTTGTTAAACCATGATGGTCACACACATTGCTATAGTTGTCTAACATTGCTATAGTCGATAAGTCGTGTTGTGTGAATGTCACTCATTCACTGTCAGGTGTTAATATATGGTGTGGCATGACAAAAAAGGAAATTAAATTGTCAAAGAGCAATTAAAAGTTAGTTGGAAAAAGTATAAAGTTTGTTAATCTACTGAGGTGTTTACTTGAAATTTATTAAAATATTACATTGTTGTGTAAAGAATTATTTCAATAATAAATTTTGATGTTAGCAATTTAATATGAATACTTTAAGAGATTTCTATAGGCAGACTATATGGGCTGTCATTGTTTAAAAGTCAGCAACCATGGATCTGTGAAACGTTCCTGTTTCCAATGTTGCTAAAACAGTTAGAAGTGACAATTTTGGATAGTTAAACACAGTTGCTGTTGTTGTCTATACATGTATGTTCTGCCAAACAATCTACGAGAAGTTTTTGTGCAATACCGCACCCCCCCCCCGCCCTGTATATAGAGATGAAATAAGTTGTAAATGTAATTTAATACAACATAGTTATTTATTTAAAGTTGGTGGTAATGTTTAGAGTGGATTGATGACCAAACCAAAGTAACCAAATAAACAATTGACCAAAGTGACCAAATCAAAATAATATTTGTCACTGAATTATTCTTGAAAGCCACGTATTGGGTAGCTACCTTAGTATAGATCTCGTTTCTTTTTTTTTTTGGTCAATGCTAATTAAAACATCGATGCATTGTATTTAAAAGTAGTTCTTGATGGAAGCCCTAAAAAGCTGTTTAGGGGAACTAAATCTCTTTGCCAATTTATTTTTATGCTATGATGAAGATTTGACCATAATAATAATTGAATGCAAGCGATCCTGTTTTAGGCCAAAAATGAGACTTTGCTTGTCAGATCAACTTCTGTATGATTAATTTGTTTGTTGTGATATTGTATAGTACATGTGGAATATTGAAGTATGGAGTATTCTATGATTATGTGAAAGTCAGCTAAGCATGGTAGTTTAACTATTGTCTATTCATCGACAATTTCTTAATGTAAATGTCAACATTGTTTTGGAAACACCCTTAAAAACAACAGTTCGCTGGTACCCCGGAGTATTTTAGTAGTTATACTTTTTATTTTGTGTAAATTTCATAATTTCTTTTTACATTCTCTTATGTAGTATGTGTTATAACAAGATATTTAGAATACCTTGTGCCAGAATTTTGTGAAAGATCCAAATAATAATAACAATAATAATAATATCATTATGCAAATAACTATGTCTAATAAATGGGTCGATTAAGCTGTTAGTCATTTGCAGCGTGCTAGAGTTTTGAGTATGATTAATGAGGGTGGAGATATATGCAAGGTTTTGTTGAATTTTTTTAAAGGGAAATAATAACTCGCTTGGGTAAATTTCTTTTAATTGTATGTTCAAGCAGGTGTCAAGTACATACAGTATTTGTATGGTAACATGGAAGGCACTGAAGAATTCTTCACCCAGGGGTGTTTTATTGGAGCTGAGCTTAAGTCAAGCTCTAAAATATGTATAGATTGAAACATGCATTTTAATATGCTTTTATGAGTCAAGAAAACATTACATAACCATCCATGAATGTTAATGCATATAAATTTATAGAACTGTTGGTGAAGCTGAACCTACAATTTAAACTACATTTTAGTTTCAATGGTCGAGGGAAAGAATGTTTGACGTGAAATTCTGATCTCAGAAAATTTTGTTTCTGATTGTTTTGTATGTAACTTGCTGTGACAGTAATTGCAATTCTTTACCCGTTGTCTAGCTTTACAGATATACATTAAACTCTGCCGTAATTCCTTTGGTATCGTCAAGGGAAAATGGTAAATCGAAAACTTCATCAAAAACAAAATGTGGGTTTGATTTTTAAAATTCGACCGAGTTTCATTCGTCACATATATTCTACACCATTTAATGCGGACTTCCACTGCTAGGATTGTAAACAAAGAATAACAATGTGAAGGTAAATAAAACCTCGGTTTCCTTGCGAAACGTTCCACCAATATGCAAATTGTCGCCCTTTCTTTAGAGAACTAAGTAAACAATTGTAGCAGTGAAGCGTAGAAAGAAACACAAAGTGGCATTTAAATTTTTTTCCGTTTTCTGTTTCAAGTCCTACGAGGAAGCAGAAGTTTTCATGTGGGGTATGATTGATCTTTGAGAAACTTCTGGCTGTTTGACGTCGTTGTTTGTGAAGCGCTTTTGTCTCCATGGAGTTGCAGTTTGAGCCAGATGTAAGAAAGATTCACGATTTAGCCAGTTCTTCTTGACAACGTGCTAATTTGTGATCGATCGGAAGATGAAACTCTTCGAGCATGAAAAACACGCGGGAAAATCACTGAATTACAGTTGAAAACCGACAATTATCCAATTATTTGGAATGTATATCTACCAGTTTCAAGATCCCAGGGACTTAATGCCAGAATATAATTCGGTTAGTGCTTGCGCAAGAACGCAGCACTCAAAAACTTGATTGAAGTTTTTCTTCATTTTAAATGTCCCAGCCTTAAAGTTACTCTGTCGGTTTTTTCCGCATTGTATTTATATTTGGTATAAACATGTTTTCAAACTAGTGCATTGTAACTGAAAGCCAAAAGCATTTGCGAACGCTATGAAAAATTTCAGTGTTAATCAAGCTACCAAAGATCTGATGGCCCAATATCCGAAGGCTGCAATAAACGGGGAAAAATCGCCGAAATTTGAAATCCCCTCGTGAACGATTCAACCATAACGCCCGGTTTCATTCATTTTTAATAACCTTATTCTTAGTTGTTGGTTTCGATCGATCTTTGATCGTCTCGAAGTCATGATGGCTAAATAAACGAACGAAAGTTTTGAAGCGTTATGGAATGGTTTTTGATTTAATTATATCTTGTTTAGCAGACGGGAGAAGCAATGATAATGTTGAAAATGATGTGAAAGTTGAAACCAGCACGTTTATAATCATACAACCTGTCTTCAATAACAGTTTTAATTCACGGTTAATTTTCTTTACCTGCCCTGTAACATCCCAAAAAATAAACCATCCTTTGTATTATTTTAGCCAGCCTCAATTCGAGAAAAATGCTCGGCCGAATTTTAAGAAATAGAAGCTCGTAAAAAAATACGGTGGATACAATATGGTTTTCAATTGGGCGACTAGGGTTACCCAAGTAATAATTCGAGTGCAAAAGCACGTTTAAACGGCAACTAGAAGAGGAAGAAATTAAGCTTGAATTTAAACTACAAGGTTTACATATAAAACAACGAATTGTAAATACCAGAGATTCGTTCGCCGCCAATGGGTTCGTGTCGTCCATTTTGTTGTACGACCTAGGCATGGCTTGTCGCAATTGTTTTGCCAAATTTTAGAGATCAAGGCGTCACAAGCGATTGAAAATCTGCCATCAAGACATCACAAGCCAGAATAGTAGAAATTATACCGAACTGTTTGCCAGGACGGATGATTTTTGTCGTTCCATAAGGTCAGGACATGAAAGATCAGCGCGAGCGAGAAATTCAAATCAGTTCGAAAGAAATTCACAAGGAATCAAAATAGAAGCCCCCGCGCACGCTGGCGACCAATCAGAGAACAGAAAATACCTGCTTGTACATTGCAGCTCTGACAGCTGCCCCAAGCAACTTCCACATGAACCAACTCAAATAATTATTGTCTTTCTCCATTAAAGAATCATGCAAAAATAAATTCTTTTTATTCTGTTAACCTCGTCGTGTTGTTATGCGTCTATGAAGCAGTTTAGCGCGTGCTATCGAACGCAAAATTCTGCGGCTTTTCAATTTAAAGTAAGCGATAATTTATTCAAGAAAGCCGAGAAAGACTGAAGGAAGGTGGAGGCCCGTATTTTCGTATAATTGAATATTCAATAATTTTGTTGAACAAACATAGCACAAAACAAAATCCCCGTAATACTAAGGTTGTTGCTGTGTTTTACGTTACCTTGATTTTAAGCAATTATCGCTGATCAGGTCTACAGTTTTATCTCTTTTTCGACGGCAAGATTTTGCTGTTTACTTTGTCCTTCCAAGCCGTCTTAATATTTAATTGAGCGTTAAAACATCGAACATCTTGCTAATGGCTGCGAAAAAAGTAACGGGCGAAAAATATCTACATATAAAGTACACGTAAGACAAACTCTTGAGTCTTTGCATTCGTGAATATATTTTATTTTGTTGCAGTCGAAATTGTAAATTCGTGATTCAGTGTAGCCTAGTACTTTAAACGTCGTTTGAAACTTTAATACAACCTCTAGTGTATTTACAATTGTCAAATTATTTTCACTCTCGTAAACAACTTTTGGGCGATTCACAATTTTATTTTGACCTTGGTTATCACAGACGGAGGCGAATAAATAAGATTCTCGCTTTCAATATAAACCGCAATTTGTGGTTTCGAACTTGAGAAAACGGCCGCTATCGAGAGCCACAAGATTAGCAAAGCCAACGCGAGCAATTTTGTTAAATTATTACATCCGAACAACACAGGTCACATTCTATCGACATTCTCAGTCACTCTTGTAATAAACAGCTAATGACTGCGTGGAAATGTTCATCTCGTGGTTTCGTATGATCTCTTTTTTGTCCGTCACCTTGCATTTGTACATTTTTCCATACGCTATCTATATTCTGTGTAGTTCCTGTAAAAACGTGTGCATTTGCCTTAAGCAATTTTTCTTCAGTGGACCTCTTTGACATTCAGATAAGTGACATCACGGATAAATTGGACGAACGCGTTTTAATTTCATATATTATTTAAAATGTTCTATTCGTCTGCCTTTAGAGCATAAACAATGGTGTGACTACAAGCGGATTTTTTTCGTCTCGCGCTTCGCGCTCGTGGTCGCGCTGCACGCTCGTGTATCGCGTTTCCCTCTCTGCCCCGCTCATCCGCCTGTTCTGCAGGCTATTCTCCTCTGACAATCACTGACCAAATATTAAACTTTGTGTCGTGGAACCAAATGTGATCCAATCTCTTAGAGAAAATTAAGAGTTGTGTGCTATGTTTCAAGTTCCAGCATGTAGTCATCAGAGTCTGGCATTCCTCCCATCAGACCATGATGGTCTGACATGATCTGCTTAGCTTGGTATGTCTCTCGCTTGATAGTCTCGTCCAGTCCTCCTGGCATGTCAGGTACCAACATGTCTATCAATGATGATACAGAGAAGATGAAATGCTGTTGGGAGTAAAAATAGCATCGGTCGTAAGCCAAGTGTTCTTAAGATTAGATATATCGCAACAACATTATGTTACTGTTTTAGGAGCCGTTTTGTGATAGAATATAGAAAATCATGGACGGGCCATGAACAACAAATTTTCCAAGCAATCGGAGAAAGGGCTTGTAACTAACACTGAGTGTGCCGAGTTAGATCGCCCAGTGACAGGGTTGGGGTAGCCGTGATAACAAGAAACAAATAAACAAGCGTGGTATAGAACGAAAAACAGTGATTGAAACCGCGGAAACTAGGACTCGGTCATTGTGACTTGAAACAGCAATTAGCTGTTTAAAGTGACGGGCACGCTATTCGAAAGACACACCCTAAGTGTCTCTTGTTGATAGACCTTAGGCTTATGAATTCCTTGCAATCATCTGCGACATGAACTTGACCAAATCCGATGGTTTGTGTCATGAAGAAAAGCCTTATTGATATTAAAAATATCTGCCATTGTAGGCAGTGGTATGATAGAATGTTTTGTTTCAGGGTAATTTTTCGCCACCTTGAAATTCTGCATTGCAATGGTGTATCACTTTGTTTTAGCTGCTTGTTTGTCTTTTCCCTTGCATGCAATAGTTTGTCTGTTTGACCACAACTATGGTTTGACGGACACGGTAGTGGGAGACACGCCCTAAATGTCTATTATTGATAGATCTTAGGCTTAACAATTTGTTTAGGAAAAGAACGCTTATGGTTGGTTGGTTGCTTGTTTGTCTCTCGCCCTTGAATGCTGGCAATATTTCGTTACCATCAATGTGTGATTCTTTTCCATTTCTGAACCCTTCTCCAGATAAGCATGCATAACAGATAAGCATGCATGATCGTGCTTTCCAAAATGGAGGTTGACTTAAAATTAGCTATAAAGTCATAAGTACTTACCTCAAATAGAATTACAAATCCCAGCTTTAATGTCACTAGATGCCAATAAAATTTACTTGGACTACCATCTGGGTAACGAAATTCAATATATCTGCAGAGTGAATAAAAGCAATATTATATATTAAGAGTTATATGGAATCTGTATTTGATAAGTTTTAATTTCGCTGACTCACAGGCACCGTCAAATATTGACATGTCGGCTGGTATTGTGCGTTGAATTTGATCGACCAATGTAGCTGTATATTTGTCATTACATTATCACTGCAGTGTCTGGAAAGCCTTGAGAGAAGGAAGAAAACTTTGGGCATTTGACTTTAATTTGAAGAAGTAAGTGATGAATGGTATAAAAAGACTCCTGTACCCGGAAAGTTCTGCATCCCTCCCCAGTTGTCTAGGTGTTTCTACAGTTATAGTACTGTGTATGTTTAATACATGAGGTATAATAGATCAAGATTAACACAGAAAATGGGTGTATTTTCAAAGGAAGGCTCACAATGACTAACTAGGCGTATTATGTCTCATATGGATTGTAGGTAGATAAGGCCGTTTCGATTAGGGCAGCAGCGGCAATATTTGCACTGTAGACACACGCGTTTCCTCAGCAGAACAGCAATTTGATTATGGTCTTCAGGAACTATCTTCTATTTAACATTGATGAGCGACTTTTTGTCAATGATTTTTCTTTGATTAATATTTCATCTTGATCATTTGTTTTTGTCTTCCGACTCCATTTGGTCTGCTCATGCGTAGTACCGTCTCGCAGATCAGTTATTTGTCTCGGCCTTCGAATGCGGCAAATAATTGATCTGCTCGCCGATGACAAATCACGATATTTTGTCAGTCTCGTCCAATAATTGTTAAATATTTGACGCCATACTGAATCTACACCCAGACGTACCTGCAAGGCACTGACGTCGAATTTACAGGGGCCCAGGCAAGACTGTAGTTCGTGTACCCTTTTAGGGAGCCGTCAGGAGATATGGTTCCTCGGTATAACATCTTGGGTAAGAACTGCGAGGTGAAGGCTATAAGGAAAGCCTGTAGAAATGTAAACAAGTTATTGTTACTTCAATTCTCTCAGTTTTTGTCGAGAATTGTTCTTGTTCTGAGAGTTCATAATCAAATTAGCGTTCCATTTGCCGCCGAAGCAAGACACAACATTTTCGTGGGTCTGCACAAAGTGCGAGCCAACATGCAGATGAACAAAAATCTGGTTAGCCTAAATTGAACCTTGTTAGCCTAAATAGCTCCCCCACTACTTAAAAAAAGGGTTTTCTTTAGTTAGCTTGCGGTTAGCCTTAAAGCCAGTAAGGATAATTGGCTCGCTTCCTGGTTAGCTGGTTAGCCCAAATAGCACTCCTTCTAGCCTAAATCGCAATCCGTTTAGTCTAAATAGCCCGCTGGCTGGTTAGCCTGACTTAACTTATTTATCTTGTGGTTAATCCTGCCGGGCTCGCATGCCTCGCTGGCTCGAAGCTGATCTGGTATTGTCACGGTTGGAAGTGCTAGTCTGCAAAAAACTTACAACTTGAACCTCACAGAACGAGTTGCAAGCGTGTTTTCGCAGCGGCTTTCGCGGCTTTCAATCCTCACTGTTAAAATCTATTGAAATCCGTCGTGAGGTTAGTTTTGAATCAAGCCTCTGATGCCGGTATTTCTGGAAAATTTACAAACTTCAGTCTTAACGGGTACAAATGGGTATTAAATCTTTCAAGCTGTTTGAAATCTTAGTTAAAGTTCAGTATATGATTACTACTCACATTACTGATGACGGCGATTTTCGCTACTGCTGATAAAATACTGAACCAGATTCCAATGTCTTGAGCGCGATGAGCCACAGGCCGCCGTAGATCACACACTATCTTGTCCGAGTCAATGCGGATCTCAAAGATGTTGTTAGCGAGGGCAAAGAACGGAGCCAAAGGAAATGCAGCCACGAAGATCGTGATGAAACCGAACTGGATCACTGTGGATTGAGAGTTTCTTGCTTCAATCAATTGTGCTGATTGTACATGGTTTTGTGTTTTTACAAACAGAACTGGCATTGACCCAAGGAACACATCTTTTGAACCAAAATTGAGAATAGTTTCTAGTCGGTTATATGTACAGATTGTTATGATTAGCTTGTTCGGACCATATAGAGGAATAACTTTCAATTTATGCACTAGCCAAACGTTTTAAAACTTGCGAGAACAATTGTTTAATAAAGCTTTGCCATAACGAATTTAAGGTTTGCGTTCTCAGTCCGCAGTTGCGTGTGGGACAAAATTGAGCTCGTTCATTTTCCAGGCATTTTGTTGGATTTTTAACCAAATTTGTCCGTTAAATGTGACGGGGAAAAGACTTCTACAAAGTAAAAATAGTTTTCTTTTGAACATTTTAAAAAAAAATGTATACTTAATTGGCCACTCCCCATTGGGGCTTTTCAGGGTCAATGTAAACAAACAATGATAAATAAATATTCAAATAAACATAACTAGGTTAAGAATCCCAACTGGCGGGAGGCAGACCAGTTGGCTATTTACAAGCGCAGCCGAGAAGTTGAGCTCAGGGCTACCGAGAACAACATCAGCTAGCGGTAAGAACGGGATTTGAACCCGGAGACGGATTTCAAACCCGGTGCTCTAACCACTCGGCCACGCTGCCTCCTCGATTTTGAACATTGTTGGGAAAAAGTTGGCCAGATTACTTTCTGCCCGTTCCATCTTTGTGGATAACTCAGTAAACCAATCAGAATGCGTCTCTTCATTATAATAATGGTACTTACCCATTTCCAGGTATTCTCCAAACAAGCCTTCGTTTTCCAGTAAATCGTAATCTAATTCCCAACGAGGTTTGACCTCATTGCCTGTCACTCCCTGTTTTCGTTTCTTCATGTACTTTTTGATCTCCCTGAAAAAAAAGCAAGAAAGGAGAAGTTTAGATCAAATCACAAACAAGGTGTAACTGATTCTTTCCATCCAATCGAAATTTAACTTGAGCTCTCACGTGTTTTCTTATAATTACAGTTGTTACGTTAACTAGCCGCCTTTTAAATGACAACCTGTGCAAACCATAGGTTCACTTCGGTGTATATATTTCAATAACAAGTCAAAATGAAAATGAGTTTGTAAACAACAGGTATTCATTAGAGATTCGTTCAAAATGTGTTAAGTTGCTATTGAAAGAACTTACGGAACAAGGACTTCTTGTACATTGCCGATGACCTGTTTGCCAATCATGATAATTGCCAACTGTTGGGCCAGCTCCATGAGACATCCACCAGGACTGCACTGTAAAATACAACGTGAACTGTGTTAGAACTGATGGCATTCAGCAATATCATGCTCTATATCATTAATGATAAGTCTCATCTTTAAAGGAGCTCAGTCAGTCAGTTTGAGTTATACTTTGGCCACGTGGAAAATTAGCTCAAAATTAAAGGAAATTTGAAAATAGTAGTTTACCAAGATAGAAAAAAAACTGGAGACACAATAATAAACCATAATGGGACAAGCATTCTTAAGGATGGAGAAGATTAACACGGATTACAATCGACGAACTTGAAAAATTTAGGTTAAACTTTTCAAGATGCGCAAACCGTGACGTAGCTTCTTTAACTTTCCATTCAACAAAAGCAGATACCAAGAGAATAAACATGGCTTCCGGCATTGAGGGTTTATTTTGATTTACCTCTTCTGCTCTGAGACCGAAGATCTTCGTATAATTTCCTGGGTATCCAACAAGTCTGTGTAAACAGAAATATTTAGTACAGGAGAAATATTAGTAACGGTCGTGGTTATATTTGGTATACATAAAGGTTGTCTGCTCTGGGAAGTGGTAAAATAAAGATGTGTAATTAATCCATGAAATAAATTCCACAACGTTTGTTTATTTATTCCTAGGGGTGGTTAGTTACCATAGTTGTTGTGAACTTACTTTCCCTTGAAGAATGCGATGTAGAAAATTGAAGAAAAGAAATTCACGAACTGGAACACGAACACTTTGAATGTTAAGTTGTCCTCGTATTCTGTCTGCGTTCGATGCATTTCTGAAAAAAGAAACACCGAAAATAAAATTATTGGTGAGAATTGAGAACTGAAGTTTTTTTACTGAATGGAAGACGAAGGGTAAATGAAAGAAACAGAAAGGCAAAAGAAGAAACAGCATTTACCCCAATGGTTGAGCACATACGCCAGCTTTTCATACACCTGCGTGAAAGAAAAAAGAACTCTTAATTTGAAAGCTACTTTTGGAAAGTTATGCTTGTTTGCCAACCAGACCAACGGTCTGCAGTATTTTATTGACATCATATATTCTTTCCCTTTTCGTGACTTTGTAGATGACTTCCTCTGAAGTTGTCAAAGCGTTAGTCATCATTTTCAGGATCACTTTCCGGCATCCGCACGGTTATGGTAAACGAAGTATACTCTAAGGCCCAGTTCAGACCTCGTGCTTCTGCCATGCCGACCTTAATTCCTGAGTTTGGTTCGGCACGGCAGAAGCACGACGTTTGAACGAGGCCTAAGCTAAACTGTATTTCTTCAGTACTGCTATATCTCTTGCATTGGCACATGTATTTGCTTTCAATCAATTTTAGTCAAAACCGCATCGTAACAACACACAGGGGCGGATCCACAAAATTCAGATAGAAAGGGTCGAAGAAATTGCAGCAGAGTGCAAGCCACCCCCTTCCCCCAAACCGAATGAATAATTCCGCTTAAAAGATTGCTGGTCAATTTTTTTTCGAAAATACAAGGAAAAAAGAGGGTTCGGCCCCCTCGCTCCCCTGAACGGACTTCTGTAACAAGTCATGCCGTTTGCATTCTAGAAATCTTTCTACTGAATTAAAAAAAAAAATTACCAATCAAAGAGCATACAACCCTCACGGGCTGCTTTTTTCACAGCGTTCTGTTCGATTTATGAACTCTTCCTTCAAACAACCGCCCATGCTGACTAAGATCATTTGTGATTGGCCGAGTAATGAGTAAACCAGGAGCAAGATTTCAGAATCAGTCGACTTTCCACCTCAACGCATTTGAATATAAATCAAGATCACATCGCGTATTTGCTTACTCACCTTGCTAAGAATCATAATGATTATAAGATTCATCATTGAGCCTGTGACAGACACAATAGTGGCGGCATACTGTTGAAAGTTTGGGTTTTTGTAGAGAGGGTGAATTACCAATAGCTTGTATACAATCACTCCCACCATGAACAGGACGACAAGAGATACCTAACGAACCAAATCAATTGTTGTTACTGCAATCTTTTACTGTCAATTGTTTTCGGACCTGATTAAAATGTCACAATTCTCTTCCCGTTCAAGAGAAGACTAAGACTGGACCCGAAAAATTCTATGCTGTTGACAAAATCTTACAGAGAGTGTGATTGATTGTGTTGAATTTTCGCGCGTGCGTTATGTCCAATCAGAGATCCCCACAGATTTTGATCATCAGCATGAAATTTTACGCTCGAATCTCACAATTTTTAATTAGGACAAAATTTGAGTATACGAGAGAAATAAATAGCAACCTATTAGGACGTGAAGATGGTCACGTTTTACAGATGGTAGAAGTCAATCTCTTTCTGATTCCCGTATATTCAATCAAGACATCAGAATCTTCTGCTTTATAATTGTTATTGTTAGCACTAAAACCAGATTAGCGTTCTTGTCTGGCTTGTTTAAGAAAATAGAAATCCGCCCTCCGTAAAAAAAGCCTTCCTCGTATTTGTATCGTGCTGTGAAAGGCTGCCTAAGAAAGTTGACTATGACCAAGTTTGACTTGTTTTGTTTCGAGCTCAGCGTATCGAAGGCTATACTTACCATACATATAACAATTGCAATCCCCGAGACGATTCTCGGGAATCGCTTTTCCTCAGGAAAATGAGGCTCTAAAAGGCCAGTCACAGGATTCCTTTCCACAGCAGGGGCTAATGCTGCAAAAGTAGGTCGGGGTCTTTCCTGCAAGAAAACAGAGAAACATAAACAGTGAACGAGGGCACGAGGTAGGAAGAACTGCAAACAGAACTTTTTGCCTTGTAAAATCTCATCGGATGAATTACGAGAGCTATTTGAAAGAAAGCTGTCGATAATAAGCAACGTTTACTCTTCCTGCCCGCTCAAGTTACCAATTATTCGAATGCATGACTTATTTATTTATTACACAATCAAAAATTTCGCTTCCGTTATGAAAGGAAATCTCATGTATTCTTATATGACATACCTCTTCCTCCTCAAATTCCAGCACATCCCATTGATAAGCGAGAGTGTTTTCTTTTCGCTTCCAGTACTCCAGGAAAAACACGGCTGAAAAATTTAACATTAGCTTTAGGGTGCAAAATTAATATTTTTACATTCGGCAAAACCAAAGAAAACAGCAGCTATAAAGGGGGTAAATGTTTCATGTAAGCGTAACTCATATGAACCATTCTGGCGATAATTAAAAGTTGTTTGGTTTTTGTCGCATGGTAACAGGAGCCATAATCGGGGACGGAGACCGTAAGTCTTGGGATCCGCGCGCACCTATGATGTGGGACAATTTTTCTATTTTTAGAACAAATTG